ATAAATAAAGTCTCTGTATAATATATGGTAAATGTCAAGTCTGTGGAGGTTTTTAATTTTCTGTCTTCTTGTTTATTTCTTTAAACAGTCTCTCTCTGTTTGTTATTTGTTACACATTCAGATCAAATACGAGGGGTGGGGTTGGAGCGCAAGAGTGTATCTATCACCTTTCAGGGGCATTGTGATGTTTTCTTTCGATGGAGTGGTACTAGAGGCAAACTACCTCTAGGGGCAGTAGATCTCAAGAAAGTATAATATTGGAGAAGTGTAGTTGGTTCAGCTACCTCTAGGGGCAGTGATTCTCTGTAGGAAATAATCTTAAACCAACTAAGTGCACAGAAATACAACTAAAATGGCTGGAATGGTGCTTTTTTTTTGAAAGACCAAATATAAATGCAATATTCACACAATGAAAGTATCCCTTTGTTAACTGTTTCTCTTCAAAATCAATTGACTTTAAGGCCTTTGAATCAAGTTCTTTAGGTTAAAAGTAGTGTTATCTCCAATATCCCATAGATGTGTACTGAAATAAAATTAAAAAACAAAGTGGGAGGGACCACAAAAAAGACTGCAATGCAGTATATAACGCCCTGAATGAAACCAAGGATTTTCAAGATAAACAAATAGACATTAATAGCATCAGATTTATCCTAACCCGAACTATTTTTGTTTCAAAGGAATGCACCACTGACAAAAAAAGGGAACAGCAACGGGGACAAAATTTGTCAAGTTTTGCCAATCTCTTTATGAGCTATTGGGAAAATTACTACATTTGGAGTAACCACTTATGGAAAGATAACATCAGTTTCAAATTATTATTATTATTATTGTTTGTATGGAAGATATCCGTATTTCTCAATACTTATTAACATACAATACAGCAAAGAAATATGTTTCTTGACCTAGATATTTAAATAGATAATAAGCCTTTAAAAAGGTTAATGTTAACAGCTTCATTCTAAAAGAGAGTGGTCACCATCAGATATGGCTCAAGAATGTCTGGTATAATGAGTTCAGAAGATCAAGAAGCAAATGTTTGGTCATAGAAGAATATAGGAAACCAGTATTATCAAAAATAGGTTTATGGAGAGAAATTATGAGACAGAAGACCAACAGATTCTGAAAATTAAAAGAAGGGAGAGATCATCTGTACTAGCAAAAAGGATAAAAGAAATCCACAGAACAAACAGGAGAAAGACCTTATACCAGCCATCATTCCAGACTACAATTGGTAAAATGCAACAAGGAAATTCCCCAGGCATTCAAGGTGTTGAAGCCGCAGGCAGTTTTAATAAAACAAAAACTCCTAAGAGGTCTTTTTCAAGCTAACACCACAAAGCAAGCCTGAGTGTGTGTGTGTGTATATATATATATATATATATATATATATATCAAAGAGTGCAAACAAAATTAACCAATAATTCTCTTAAGTGAAATTAATTAACAGAAATAATTAACACAAACCATACAAATTACACACAATGTCTATAAATACAATGATCCATGGCCTACCTCTTTATGTCAAAGGAGGGAGAGACAAGAAAAAAATAATAATAAAGTTAAAAAAAAAGTATTAAATAATAATAGAAGTGAAAGTGAATGCTGGTCAAAGCAAAAAAGAGACACGGTTACGTGGAACGCGAGACAGCTTTTCCTGTTCCCTGGAATGCATAAGGACAGCCCATCAGATGGATCAGTCAATCTAAAAAGAGGGCAATCCCGAAAAAAGCAAAAACCTTTCGTACGCTCACGAACCACCAGTTATGCGTACAGCGGAAACCAGGTGTACGACGCGCCACTATCTCACAAAAGCTGTATAAAAAGGAACAAAAAAAAGAACAAAAACAGAGGGGGAGAAAATAGAAGGAAAAAGAAAAAGGGAAAAATAAAGAAAAAAGTAAAATAAAAATAAGAAATAAAAATAAATGAATAATATATATACATATAAAAATAATATAAATAAATAATATGATAAATTAAGACTAAAAAAATAAAAATTTAATTAAAAAGAAGAGAAAAAATATAAATAATAAATAATGAAAAAATAATAATAATGAAAAAGTGTCAAACTCCCACCAGGACACACAGAGAAACACCACAAATAAATAAAACATAAAAATTAGTCAATGAAATAAATACATGGTCATAAATTATAATCAAAAAATAAATCAAAGAAAATAAATGTAAAAAAAATTTATCAAAAAAAATATTATTTTCATTTATAAAGTAAATTTAGCTGGCATTCAATATTATATTGGAAAAAATATCTCTAACCACATTGATTGGTAAAATTATCTCTAACCACATCGATTATTGTCAAGTATAGAGTAAGGAGAGCTCAAATGAACAAGTAAAAATTTAAATATATATATATATATATAAGTCTTTTACAGACTGAAACGTCGACTGGAACGTTGTGTGAATTTGTAATTGCTCAATAAAGCAACAGATGAAATTTACCTTGAAAGACTCCTGAGTGCTCTCTACTGGTATCGTGTATATATGTGTGTGTATATATATGTGTATATATGTGTGTGTGTGTGTGTGTGTGTGTGTATATATATATATATATATATATATATATATATATATATATATATATATATATATTTGCAAACTAATTACAATTTATATAT